AAGCTGCCAAGTGGTTGAAGCAAGTACGAAGCGACGAGCAGTTGCAAGGATTCCTGGAGTCCCATGACATTCAGTGGAAATTCAACCTAAGTCGCGCCCCTTGGTGGGGCGGCCAATTCGAACGCCTGATCGGAATTGTGAAGACAGCGATGTACAAGGTCATAGGCGGAGCTACACTGTCCTGGAGCGAATTGAATGAAGTAATCCTGGACGTAGAGACTCAGGTTAATCGTCGCCCACTCGGTTACGTTGAAGACGATGTTGAGCTGCCCATCCTGACGCCGGCTAGCCTTATGTTCCAACGAACCAACCAGCTTCCTGAGGAACAGGCCTGGAGAATTCAAGACCCGAATTTGCGCAGACGAGCTAAATATTTGCAGACCTGCAAAGACCATATGTGGAACCGATGGCGACGTGAGTACCTAACCGCCCTGAGAGAGCGCCACAACCTTGTACACAAAACGGCAAATTATCGAGTCAGGGTTGGCGACACTGTGCTAGTACGATCAGACAGCAAGAATCGAGGGAAGTGGCCACTAGCTATTGTTCAACAGACCTACCCAGGACGTGACGGCCACATCCGTGCAGTGCAGCTAAGAACCAGTAAAGGAGTTATAGAGCGTCCTGTTCAGCACCTGTACCCGTTGGAGTTGCAGTGCGAACCCACAGTGCCAGCAGGAACAGAACAGCGGTTAAACCATAACGCGCCAATTTTCAGACCGAGAAGAACCGCTGCGGCTGCGGCAGCTGCCAGAATAAAGGAGATTGCTTATAATGAAGAAATTGAACAATTTTGAACTTGAACAGAGTGATTACTAGAAAAGTTTTCGATCTAGCCTTTGATTATTTTCGGAATCGTAGAAATAGATGTTTCAGCCTCCTGAGTATTGAATGCACCCTTGTATGCAATGCTGCATGGGGGAGTGTGTCGGAGACTTCATGTTACGTGACAATATAGTGACACGGATGTTTAAATTAGGTCTGGATTTTACGAGACAATGAACACTTTAGCTGCAGGAATTGATTGACCTTTTTCTGATTATCGCCTAGCAACAACCAATCATATCTAATGTATACTAGTATGAAATCGAGCGTTCTTTTCCATGCCAGAGAGTAGCTCTTGCACAACTGCTGTAACGAGTGAATACAAGTGAGCCAAGTGATTAAAGACAATCGACTCTACTGATTGTCTTAGTGTAGCTTTCGTTGATCTGGAAACCCTAGTGAACGGGGCAAAGTTCTCAACAACATCTCTAGTGAAGCCAACAAAGAATTAGGCATAGTTAACTATGGAATCCTGCTGTAACGGAGGGAGTTTATGAGTACTTACGCCCTGTTTTTACTGTGCGGCATGAAACATACCTTACCGCAAAAATCTTGAGTGCAGAAAGAATAGCATCCATAGCCAAAAGAAAACAGCCCAAAACCCAGTTTCGAGCAATCTTTTTACCCAGTGTGATATTCATAAACTGGTCCATGAACTCTAAAATTAAACATAACTGCGTCCAGCCCTGTCTGTCTTTGAAAGCAAGTAATTAATTAGTGAGCCTTGCCAATAAAACCCTTGAGACAAATAAACCGCGCAAGTGGAAAAGATTATTTTCCGGAAACATGAAATGAAACCCTTATTGAGATTTTGTGGTGGTTTCTCCACCATAGCTGACATACCGTACCTCTAGGAACTCACGAACTTAAGGGTCCGCGCCCTAACTGACAGTACCTCAAAATAAACTGCTGTAGCGATAGCCTTAGTAGGGATATTACAAGCAAGCCTCTTTCATTTCTCATCACTTTCTTTCCTCCTAGTCTTTTTGGGGTTCAACAATGCAGTCAGGAGACCAGACGACAGTTGGAGAGAAGGCTTTTCACATTATTTCCATATTACAAAAGTGTTTTATGTGTATTAAAGATGGGCACTTTTTTTTCATATTAGAATTTACTTAAAATGAAGTTTATCTCGAAGCGGTCAAGTAAAAACACTTCTTTTGCCCTTGTTTCAGTTCGCCTAAAAATCGGGCCAAAGCCCACTTCCGGTATGCTGCACCGGGGGGGGGGGGTGGATGCTCGTCATCTCGCCTAGGGGTGTAAATTTCGGATTTTGGTCTCACTTAGGATGTTCTGGGCAAAACGCCATCATATTTAGCCGTAAAGGTCTCTTATTCGTCTGTGTTTTAAAATGGTCTTTTTTAGGGGTCAAAAAATGGTTGGGTCACGCCCAGTTTGGTCTCCTTTACGTCGGGGCTTAATTCAAAACCTGACAAAGGGAACGGTGTCGTTATTATTAACAAACTTGATTATTTAATTCAAAATTGCAGATGAGCATCCACGCCCCTTTCATATGGGAGTACCCTCCCGGATTGCTGCAATTATTAGTTGCAAACTATTCAGGGGTAACTTATAATTAATGGCGGCGAGTTTACGCTGACAGATACATACACGAGGGTCTGAATGGGGTTAACCGACTAGCGACAAACGGTGAAAATTATAACTGACTACCCACAAAACGAGAAAATCATTTGCCGACTACCGGCAGGAAAACTGTTAACCGACAACCCGCATGGTCCGACATTGTAGGGATGTTTTTAAACAGAAATAAATCGTATTTTTTTCTTCCTAAGTCTTATCAAAAGTATTGCGTGAAGGTAGATCACGTTAAATCCCAATTTCTTTACTTATAGAATTTCATGTCATCAACTTACTTGTGTCAAGGTTCGTGCTGCGGTAACTTCTCGGCAAAACATTGTCCTGTTTGTTTGTTTGCTTGTTTTTTTGTTTTTTGTTAGTTTTGTTTTGTCTGTGTTTTTATCACCCATAGGATCTATTTGCAAAATACAACTGAAATTCCACAAGGGGAGATTTTTGCAAAAAGCTCAATGGAGCTTTGCTTAAAATCTTCCAGCCTTATGTTTCTTGATATTATTATCTTGTGTTAAGCCTAAGATTTTTTATGTAAAGGATGTAAGGTAAATAAAGAAATCTTATTACAACAATTTGTAGCTGGGATAGCTAAAATTTAATGCAAAGCTGGCTGGTTGTCAACAAACCATATCAGCGATAATCCACTACAACAAAATATGTCACTTAGGAAAGCTTCCCTTTCAATTCGTGTAAAATTAATGACTTGTCATGTCAAACGTAATTAATATTCGATATTCTTTTCCTTCCGGCGGCACGCCGTCGTTATACTCGATCAAAACACCTCTACCGATATCACATTTGACAATTATTGAGTCAATATAAAAAAATATTATGATCAGTGAACGACGGAAATAGGCTACTGTAGCTGAAGTTTAAGGCTTAGCTAATATAGCACAGTGGTCTTTTTATAATAATAAAAACGTTTTTAAAAATTTTTATGAGTCAGTGAGAACGTTTTCTTGTAACTGGTTATATTTTTGGGGAAATACGGCGGAAATTGCCTCATGGATAATCAAATATTTACACATTATTTTATGATTTCTATTCTGGGACAGGTTTAGATCCGTTGCTAATTTTGTTCCACTGATTTTCACGGCTTAGTTTAATTTCACACGAAAGGTGAATTAGAATAAAACATATTGTTTAGTTCACTGTCCTAAAGGTACACATTCACTAAATAGGCGCGGTCTATTTGCCATTTTCGCTTTTTCAGACCCTTAAACCGATATTGAATCCCAGGCTTACGAAACTTTGAGCTATAGTGATTCAAGTTTCTATCACTCCACTTAACTGCCTGCCGGAGACAGTCTTACGGCTCCGCTTCAATCCTCCAATACACTAACTGCCTGGGCCAGTAGCAGGTGCTGAATTCAAAATATTCCAATTGCGCAGGAGGCCCTGCTTTAATTATTTTAAACCAGCTCTCACAAAAAGCCCTCCTAAATTGGGGAAAAATCTATAAATTCTACATTAATTTTGAAACATTACGATACTGGAAGTTATATGACCTTTAATAGTACTGAAGAGTAGCTCATAGGGGTTTCACATGGACAGGATTTTATCCACAGACTCAAACCGGCTAATCGATCTATGTATCGGATAATTACCGTATCTATCTTGACTATCTAGTGTGGTTAACGCATTGGATTGACTTCGTTTAATAATTGGCTTTATATTTGAATATACAGATAGCTCCTGAATTAGATACATAATCGAGGCCAGAATCAGGCGTCCAACAGTACACATGGTACAGCGGTAAACCGTTTCGACCCCTTGCACTCAGTCACGATTAAGCCCAGCTTCAATGTGACATGGCGTTTCTAGCCGTCCGTTCACTGTAGTCTTACTTAGTTGAGCAATGATTTCGAAATCACAGTTTTTTTAAGAGGCATAGAGAGAAAACCAAAAGGCAGACAGTAAATATGTGACCATTAAGTTCACCCAAACCAGTCGAAGGCGACATGGAATTCACCTTAAGATCTTGAAAAATTAAAACAAGGCAAGATAATTAAAACATAATATGATGATTTTCTTACAAGTGAATGATACAGATATTGTATTGCAGGCAAATAGCTTTGTAAAACCTTCTGAAGGTCAAAAATTTGACAAATAGACATCGATCAAAATGATAAATCATGATAAATGAACAAGTCGCCAGTCTGTGGCCAACTGAAACATGTAAGATAAATTACTTATCTTTCCTTTCAGGCTTTAAACATACACATCTCAGATTTGTAACCAAAAATAAGTTTTCTTTGGTGCGCTTGCGTCACCTCCTACTTCGAAAGGAAATAGCCGCCTGTGTAATCACAGCTTTTACACAAAAGCAAATAACTACGCATCGTTCAATTTTTCTTTCTGGTATACTTTAAGACACAGCGCTAGCAGTTCTGTGCTTAAAGGAAGGGGTTTTCTGTTCCGACTCAGAAACATGAGCCTATTTCCTGGTTTATTTTTGAGCGCTTCAGCGCTAAAAGCCGTATTTTGAAGCGCGATCTAAAGGAAGTAGGAGTCACCTTAGTGACGTCACAGAGGGATTCCTTTTCGGCTGTTGACATTCAGCATACATTTCCATGCAAGAGATGAATTAAGAACCAGAAATTTCACGATACCATCCTCTTCCACTCTTCGGGTCTTTACCTTTTCTTTTTTTACCCTCTAGTTTTTAGTCCTTTTATGTTAGTTCAGTTTACTACTAATCATTATCTTTGAAATGGCTGCAAGCTGTAAATACATTTTCGTCTGTATCGCCTTTTCCGGACTGTTGTGGGACTCGGCGACGTGTCGTAGCTCTCGAAAATTATATTCTAATACATGGGTCGTCCAAGTCGACGGGGGCCAAGAAGAAGCAGAGAGAATTGCTGCAGAGAAGGATTTCATACTTTTAGGACAGGTAAAGAAGAAAATTATTGATATCATTCCTTGAGATTTTTATCGCGTATGGAATAACATCCCTCGCTCTACGCGACCGTTCGATCGTTTGCAGGGCAATTCAACTGATTATTCTCTTATTGTTTCCTGGTAACGGGAGTTTTGCTTGATCTAAAAAGATGTTGTTTACTCTTGAGGTTGGAAGTTTGGAAGGATTTTACATGTTCAAGCATAAGTCACATCCTAGGCGATCGAGACGCGATGCAGTGGATCTAACCTGGGATCTATCCGATCATCCAAATGTGAGTAGTAACCTTTAGCAGCTTATGAACTTACTGTATTGCGTGTTTGTATACGATGAAAGCTTCCATGAAACGGAATTCATGTGCATTTTAGGTCGTTTGGGTAGACCAACAGATTGTTAAAAGACGCGTAAAGAGAGATTATTCTCCGCATTGGAACGACCCTGACTTTGGGAAGCAGTGGTTTCTTGTAAGTGTGATAATTTAGCATAGCGGCAGTTTATTTAGAGATCTTTACAGCCAAATCGCGAGGTTTAGTCTCGTTATAAATGAAGACATCGACACATTTTTATAATTATTGGTCATGTAATGTCAAAGTCGATCGTAATATAACGTTCCTGTGTATTGGTGATTTTCGCCGTAGAAGGGTAAATAAACCCTTTTAAAAGCACCAGGTGGGCTCATGAGGTATTGGTTAACTAAAGGTTGCGAGTTTATTGTAAAAACATAGTGTTCATCGTGTTATTAAGAAACAGACGTTCCGGTATTCCGAAATAAATTGTTACATTAGTCAAGTAAGGATCTTTTTAAACATTGTTGTTCTTGGAAGGACTATTGTTCAATGCTAAGTTGTAAATTAATCATTCATTCAGATAATTATCATGTGTCGCCTCTCCGTTGCACAATATTTTTTAACGTTGTTATCATTCTTTCGGGCCAGTTTACAATGTATACGTTTTATCAGTGATGATTCCTTGATAAATCGGAAAGAAATTTGGAATCTTTTCAAATCTAAATTGTTTGTTTATTCATTCAGCCGGTTTCATCCATTTTGTATGTTGGAAGTCTCGTGTTAAGGGTGGGAGTAGGAGATGGGAGGTGTGGGGGAGGGAAAGGGAGGGAAGGGGAGGGGGTTATAAACAGCCAGGCCGCTTTGCTCTGGGTCACAGCTATTCGTTTGAGCCTGCAATATACATAGCAAGCAGCATTATTCTTAACAACAGAGTCAAAGTAAGGAATCTAGCCATTTATTCAGTTACATGACAAAATATTGCTCTTTTGAAGTTACAATACTGAAATTTTTTATTGATACTCCATATTTGCAGCATAATACAGACAGCATATTCAGAGGTTATGACCACAATGTTCTTCCAGTCTGGGAACAGGGTGTCACTGGAAAGAATGTTGTTGTCTCTATTCTAGATGATGGTAAGTCATAAAAAGCAGAAACTGGTTACTTTGCTGCCATTATGTTATCAGTGCTTGACTTTCAGGAAAAAATGTTGGGGCCAGCTGACCTCATTTTTTCAATTTCATTTTCATTTTCATTTTTCATTTTTTCATTTTCAGTTTTCATTTTTGGTCACCTGAGAACAAGTATTCTTGTCACCAAAAATTATATTTAAGAACTAATGGAATACAATAAACTTAACATATTTTACTTAGCCTTAACAGAAAAAGAGTGCTTTAGACTTATTTTGAACTTTCTTTTGAACGGTTTTCGCTTGAGGCTCAATTACTAGCTGGTGTTTGGGAAAATGAACCCACACTCAAGCGTAAATCTCCTCAAACAGGTATTCAAGCAATGGAACACACATTTAAATAAACAAACTTTAGGAATCACAGAAAACTTATTTGGCGTATGAAAGAGCTAAATCAGACCGCAAAATTTGTTTTGCGTCCCAAAACAAATATTTTCAGGTTCAGGAATGAACATCAGTGAAACTTGATCCATTTCGCGGTTGCCTATCATTTGATCGAAAGTCTCGAGAAAGAGGAAACGTCGCAAATGTTTTCGGGCAAAGAAGTTGATTTCTCGAGAAGTCTGTTAGACAAACAGCATGAGTTCAATGGTACTTCATTAGAAACCAATAAAGTATGGCAGAGCTCTTATTTGGGTCATCATACTCAACAGAAATTTGCATAAAGTTGTTTACAAGAAGTTCAAGAAATAAGCGCTGTTCATTTTAGATTAGCTTAAGCTTTTATCAAACTAATCTGCTATCGAGTCCGCAATAATTGAGATACATGATGTTTGACATAAAGAAATAATAATATTGTTTTAAATCAATGCGCTTAAAGTCATTCCTGGAGAAACACAGGACGACCTGTTGAGAATTGGGATGATTTGCCCGAAAGTTGATAAGACTTCTGTCGAATTCATCACTTGTGATTTTTCACAATCCTCTTTCAAGTAAAAGTCAAATGTTAGATGGACCAACTGTTAGATCACATAAGAACAATCTGTAGAGTGTTGGAAGAAATCGTTGAAGCGTTTAGACAAACTGTTAGAGTGTTAGAAAAACTGTCAGCTACCATTAGTTATGTAAAGGATAACAAATTATCATTAGTACACTTTTTCCCAAAGAAGAAAGTCATCTATCTTGGGGGCCAGGTTGGCAACCAGGCATGAAAATTTAGTCGCCACTGAATAAAAGCTGGTTGCATTGGCGGCCCCACAGGTCACAACATCGAGCCCTGGTTATCCTCCTAGATGTATGCATTAGCTTTGTTTAATTATCTCCTAGATGATACTTCTGCAATTTTTTATTGATCTGTTCATTCCTTTGAGTACAGATTCAAAACAAAGTATGATTATTTTATTTCACATTCCACAAGACAGAATCCTTGTAAGAATACAAGGCATGCCATTTTTTTCACACATGCTCACAACATCAATTTCCTAATATTCAAATGTTTTTTAAATTTTTTTATTCCTGTTTTATATGCCAACAATTCTGGTTTTCAAGTTTTTCCTTTATTTACAGTCCCGCTCAAAAGTAAGTTGACACTTGAAGCTCAAAACTCGAGACTCGATCCTTGCCTCTCGAAGCTTGAACGCTTCAAGTTTCGAAATGCAAGGATCGAGTCTCGAGACGGGAGGATCACGTTTCGGTGATCAAGGATCGAGGATCCAAGAAGCTAGGTTTTCCGAAAAAGCGATGTTGTACAGTCACGTATAGGTGATCCAACTTGATTACCTAAACCTTCTGCAGCAAGTTTGCACCTACGTGCCTTCTTTCCTTCTGACATCCCAAGCGTATGCCTCTAGCAGCGCCCAAAGGCCCCTCACAACTTACTTTTTCTTGATGGAAACTAGGAAATCTTAGCTGTTCCATAGAAATCATATGCTGGACCCTGGATTTCACGGGCTATAAGAGCGCTTCAATTTTTCTCACAGCAAAGCTTTTTTTATTGGTTTGATCTAGTAGTTAGTGTCTGCCATAATGATAAGTAAAGAGTAAAGTGTAACAGCATAATTTGAAAATCAAGAGCATGATGCTACATGTATATCGTTTGTTTATTTGTTTGTAGGTATTGAATATACACACAATGACTTAAAGGCAAACTATGTAAGTTACTGAATGTAGATTATTTCCAAAAAATTATTTTGCTTCCTCACAAAAATGTCTAAAAGATTAAAGGTGATGTTACATGGGACGATTCACAACAACAATTTTTAGTTTAACACGATGTTGCAATGTTGGAACAATGTTGTACCTATTCGAAACAATGTTGCAAAGCTGTGCTGCGCTAAGAATTGTCATTGCGAATTATCTCGTGTAACATTACCTTAAAACAGTCCAGCTTGAATGACTTCTCCAGTTGGACTGGATCATTCCATATTCGAAACAATATTGCAACAATGTTGCAATGTTGTGTTGCGTTAAGAATCGTCATTGCGAATCGTCTCGTGTAAGATCACCTTAAAATGGTCCAGCTTGAATGACCTGTCCAGTTGGACTGGATCATTCCATACAGTCTACAATACTCGTCACATATCGTTAAAACAGAAGCCATTTGTCTTGAATTTTCTCACAATTTCTTACATGCACTCTCCACACCTTTGTTATCACTCAAATGTGCCCCTCTCCTTCCCCAATGTTGAGCCACATGTATTTTGGAGCACTGAAGTGACTGCAATCCCAAATCAACACTGGGGAGGGGAAAATCACACAAGTGTTTCAAGATTTGTGACGAGTATTGTAGCTTGTACCAAAATTCCTGAAAAACCTCAAGTTGGTTGAGTGGATGACACCCAACAAGCAGAGCTTGCTTTTGTCTTCTTCTTGATTTGGGAGGAGAAAAAAGGGCTTTGCCTGAATCGTCTTAAACTTATAAAGGTGCCACAGCCCAAACTTGTGGACTCAGCGTGCAAAGAAAGTCATGTCTGATAGCCTGGGGCTAGTGGATTTTGTTATCGGGCTAGTGAATTCTGTTCTTAATTTGCCCAACAGGCAAGTGATGTTTTTTGAGGAATTCAATTTGAAGAAGAACTGTGAAATCAATTAATTATTCGGCTCATCAAAAAGCTTTGGGGGCTAGTTGAAATGATGTTTGGGCTAGTAAATGCTAGCTTCAGCTTGCCCAAATGGCAAGCTGTAAAAATGATTTTCTTTGCACCCTGGACTAGTCAATATCGTATCCTCTCCTCTTCAAACAGCTTTTTTGAGTTAAGTGTGAGCATCTGTATATTGATAAAACGACGGTCATTATTGAGCCCACTGCACTAAGCACACGGCTTTTAGACCAGGGTTCAAAACTGTGTTCTAGTAACTTGAAGCGCATGTTCAACTCTTCAAAGATCTAACTTGATTTACGCAGTGTTTGATAAGTTCGCCAAATTGGGCAAGTAAAAGAAAGACTCAGCTGGCAGCAGGGTGATTCCATATCCACCTAAACTCTGTTATACTGAATATACATGAAAGTATGTTTTTGCTTTCTTTCTTAACTCCTCCACCACCTACAAATTAAATGAAAAGTAGTGAGGTATTTACTTTCCCGTAGTTGAAAATACTACACTTTTTTTCTTTATATTTTTTTACTTTTTTAGGATCCCAAAGCTAGTTATGACTATAATAGTAATGATGCAGATCCTGCCCCTAGACCAACCTGGAATGATGAAAACAGGTTTGTTTGCCAGCATAAAAGATTAGAAGAGTACTTTAATGTTCTGTTTGTGAAAACAATTAGCGAAAACAACAACAATAAAATACTAGACATGCGCTTGAACTATTTTGGTATGGTTAGTTCAGTTTACAACTTAAATTGACCTCTGGAAAAGATGACAGGGATCCTAATTCTGTCCATTCTGTGTATCAGAATGACACCATGTATTTATCTCAGACTGAATTAGACTACGCAGATTTAATAACCATTATGTAATGGGTATGTAACAGGTCAAAATTAAATTCAGGTTAAACCTTTTTAAACAAGGTTGATTTTCAATTTCCTTTGTCTCCTAGCCACCTAGGTTAAAAAATTTTGACCTGTAACAGATATTCAGCGTAAATTAATGTTTTTGACATGTTGGGTTGTATTTTGCAGGCATGGTACAAGGTGTGCAGGAGAGGTGGCAGCCACAGGAAACAACAGCCTCTGTGGAGTGGGAGTAGCACCTCAGGCTAAAGTTGGAGGTGTGTATGTTATTTGACAACTACATGTAATGAATGACAGTCAATCACACCTCTTGACTATTAAATACAGTCGCACCTCCACTAACAGTCACCTCTCCACAACGGCCACCCCTCTACAGTGGCCTCTTTATTTTGTCCCAGCGGACAGTCCATGCATTTACTCTTATTTAAAGCTCTCCTTAATTGCCACATCTCTACAATGGCAGCAGCCACTAATGCTTGTCCCCAACTGCCAAAATAACTTCTCGACAACAGCCAGTTTTTTCAGTGACTGATCAAAAAGTCAAGAATGCTCATGAATTTTTTCGTGGCAATTGTATTTTGATGTTGTTTAATTTATTTTGCTGCAGTAAGCATAACTTGTCTATGATACTTCTAGTGAGTGTTGCGAACCTTGCACATTGTGTCACGTTAACATTTTGATTCAAGACATAATTCAAGCTTTTTGTGTACTTATCTCTACACATTATATATGATTGGATTACCATGATTATGGGACACAGTAAGCATAAATTAACACAGCACAAAAATTCATGTTGTGCTCCCAAAGAAAAACTTTGTGATATAACACCCCTACCTCTCCACAGGGGCCACATTCTTCTCTCCTCAAGCTGGCCGTTGTGGAGAGGTTCAACTGCAGAAAAAGACAATCAAGTCTTCTTACTTTGGGACTTGATACGATGATACAGTGTTTAAGTATCATTACAATGTGTACAGGAAAGATCAGATCAGTATGAGATTTTAGGAAACTCCCCTCCCACCCCTCCCCTAAACCGACATTTTTAAGAAGTTTGCATGCTACAACTGTAATGTTGAGTTAGGGTAGGGGTTGGCAGGCAGTTGCTCAGAGTCTTGACCCTTTCACAGCCAGAGTGTTTGATAAAGGTTTGCAAGGTGACCCTAACTTTTGAGTCCGTGAACGAAATCCTATGGTGTGACCATTCAAATGAAAGCTCTTTGCCTGTACTTTCACATGATACTATTTACTAATTTATTTCTCAAAATTTTAGACAATGAAATTTGGTCGAAATTTGCCTTTGGCCACATTTGACAGTGAAAGGGTTAAACATGTACTTATATATCTGAGAGGTCTTAAAAAGGCTGCATAGAAGACTAGTGTTCACTTTAATTGATAAATTGAGCCCTTACTAAGTGTTACCAGTGGAAAGGTGTCCACCATAGAGAGGTAGGATATGCTCAGTTGGTAGAGCACGTGGCAGCAGAGCAGGAGGTGGTGGGTTTGATTCCTGTCGTGGACCAATACTTGGGGTCTTAAATCACTGAGAAATGAAGGTAGTTCCTTCACCCTGCCAAAGGCTAGACTTTTGCTTAGCTCGGATGACCATGTGAAAGGGTGTTAGCATCTATAGCAGGAGACGTTAAAATAGTGTCCTCAATAATTAGTAATTTTTTAATAAGTGCTAAATTTAATACATTGACACCCAAATAAAGTGCGTTTTTTAATTTATAGAATGTTAAGCTATCTTTTTCACTTAAAGAAAACTCTCATCTAGTAAGGTAATGATATTGACTGTCTTTCTTGGGAAGAGAGTAAGTCAGCTATGACCAGCCATCCCTCAAGAGGACGTGTCTTCCTGATAGGGATGAGGCTTTGCAAAGTGACCAGAGTTGACTATATTTTATTGTTGTATGTATCTTCAGGTGTACGAATGCTGGATGGTGATGTAACAGATGCGGTAGAGGCATCTTCATTAAGTCTCAACCCTCAGCACATAGATTTATACAGCTCAAGCTGGGGACCAGATGATGATGGGCGGACTGTGGATGGACCAGCTAAGTTGGCAAAGAAGGCATTTGCTGATGGCGTGCAAATGGTAAATTATAATTTTAGAAATAATATTGTACTTATTGGTAATCAACAGTGCTTCATTTGCTGGAGCATGAAACCAAACAGTTTGTACATGTAAAGGCAATTTACTCCTCCAAATTACCAAACCTGGTAATCAACTGTATTGTGTCGATTGCTAGCAATAAAACACTGTACATGTTTCTTTATTTGTGGCAAATTGAATGTTACTTAATACCGTAAGTCCTCTATTAAGCCCCCCCCCAGGGGGCTTATCTATTTCAAACACATTTAAGGAGGGGCTTAATAGAGACAGGGGGCTTATTTGAGAGGGAACGGCAGGGGGAGGGAGCTTATTTAATTTGGCAAAGACAGTGGTATCAGTTCTCCATAAAGCACTGGAATAAAAAGTGGAAAAGCTCAAGTACAAGAAGTTGGAGGTCGTGCAGCCAAGGATCAAAAGCAAATCTGAACTTCCAGTTGGTGAATAAACCATCCCGGATCAGTCTACACGAAATTTTTGCAGTTGTGATTGATTAATACAGTCTATCATTTATTAGTGAAGAATAATAAAGGGAGGGGAAGGCGGGGGGGGGGCTTATTAACTTGCTTCCCCTGAAAAGAGAGGGCTTATTAGAGAGGGGAGGCTTAATAGAGGTTTTACAGTATTACATGTACTAGCAATGTTGCTCCTTTCAAGAAAATGAAATTCAATAATTCAGTACAATTCATGTAATATATATTTTCTCTCTTGATTTAGGGTCGTGGTGGATTAGGCTCTATTTATGTGTGGGCTTCAGGTAATGGTGGTAGAAGCCAGGACAGCTGCAGTTGTGATGGTTACACAAACAGCATTTATACGCTCTCAATTAGCTCAGCAACAGAACATGGCACATCACCATGGTATTCTGAATACTGTGCATCCACTCTGGCTACCACCTTTAGCAGTGGAAATTTTGACATGAGAAAAATAGTATGTATCTTTTCCATTTTTTTTTAGCCAAATACCAGAGAATATGATAACTAGCGTAAATGTTTTTTGCAATGAATGACTGGATTGGTAAGTGGTTGGTGTTTATTGATAGTGAAAGTGCACTTTTAGCTAGTTTACAGGCACTCCTCTCAGATCTCCCTAATAGTCACACGTAGTCATAATATAGTTCAACTCCCCAACCATTAGAAGGGAGCTAGTCAGCAACAGATCCAGAGGGGATGAGGTTCTAGGGGTTCCATCCCCTCGCTCCCCTAAATGAATTAATCAGACCAGAAACAGTCATGAAATTTGATAGCTGAGTGCTTTGATCTTGGGTTTATTACCCTTGTTAAGGATAACACATTTACGAGAAATCATTATGTTATGACCAAAAAGCTAGTGGGGTGGAAATGACTTGCTGTAAAAGGGTTGTTAAAAAGCATGTTGAGCTCAAGTTTGGACTCCTCCAATAAAGAATTTCTGGCTCTTCCCCTGCCAGTTAGCCATTTATAAACTTAGCTGAGGAGTTTGATGCAGGACTGCTGTAACACAACTCCGACTAATAGTCAGGGCGGGACTTCTTAAACCAGGGCCTGCTGCCCAGACTGCATTTGTGACACAGTGGACGCTTTTACCTTCTTTATGAGAAACAAAGTTTACTTTGGCAAAATTAGGAAAAGTGTATGATTAATTTGTTTTATCTTCAAAAGGTTACAACAGACCTACATGGCCGATGTACAGACTCACACACAGGTACATCTGCCTCAGCTCCTCTGGCAGCAGGAATATTAGCGCTTGCATTAGAAGTTAAGTGAGTATCTGGGTATATTTCTTGGCCTATTTTTTATTTGTTTGATTAGTGCACTGGAAATCGTAGTATAAGTGCGTTGTTAACTGCAGGTGGTTTTTGCCTAGTGGTGTGTATTGTTTAGCAAGAAATGATGTTTAGAGTGGTGTAGTGACTGTACTAATATTAATGTGCTTTGTTTTATCAGTCTCCGGGGGGGGGAGGGGGCAGAGACCATTTTGGAGTAATAAAGCAGGCATTACGGTTCACTGTTCCTCCACTTATCATACATTTGCAAGCCATCATATTATTTTACAAACCAAATAAAAAAACATGGCAGTTGTCACTTGGTATACCATCCAATACAGCAAATATTTTGTATAAAAATAACTTATTTTGCTACTCTTTGAAGCTCCCAAAGTTTCTCTTGCGGTTCTTGCTGTTAAAACAGACTCCTTTGCAACCTCAGCTTTACAGATAATGTCTGTTCTCTGCTTATGGTCATCCAATACCTTTATTTGATGTTTGGCAGTCATCTTTTCTTCATTCTTAGTTTCTTTCTTTTTTTCTTCTCTTTTTTGTTGGGGGTGGGGGGGGGGGGGGTGTTCTCTGAGTATTCATTCTTAGTTTCTTTCTTTTTTTCTTCTCTTTTTTGTTGGGGGTGGGGGGGGGGGGGGGGATCTCCATTATTTTGGGATACAAGGGAGTGGGGGCACCCAAAAAGATTTCTAATGAAGAGGCGGGTCATCTTATACTACGGGAGATACTCATCAAATCCCACAACCCTCCCCTTGCCCAAATGAACGGTCCCTAAATTGGCTTTAAATTTTTTACAGGTTTTTTATTTTTGAAAAATGTGAAATCCAATATGTGGATTCTTTTAGAGGAATTATACCATCATTGACATGCACATAATTATGTTATTTGTTTATAGCCGTAACTTAACCTGGAGGGATATGCAACATTTGGTTGTACGTACCTCCACCACAGTACATCTTCAGTCAGATGACTTTATTGTAAATGCAGTTGGAAGAAAGGTCAGCCACAAGTTTGGTTATGGTTTACTTGATGCACTAGCACTTGTCAATCTGGCAAGAAAATGGAAAACTGTCCCACCACAGCACATTTGCCGCGAGACACCAGAAGCACAACAGAAGTAAGTGTTATTTTAATTAAGAATGTGCCAATTATTATTTCATCAAAATGTTGAGACTCTCTATGGGTTCCCGACGAAAATGAACAGAAGTCGCGTCGATCACTGTTGATGGAACCACGATCTTAGAGATTCAAGCGACGATCGCATTGCAAGAAATAAACTATTAAACGTCTCTATTAAACTGGCAAAAAAGTGTACGCGGTTGGTTTCGCTGCATTGATTGACCGGGTAGTTGTCGACAATGTAACTCTGTAGTAACGAGCACTGATTGGAGGATCCAACTGGAACTGGAATTGGATTGCCATTCCTATCAAGTTTGACAACGATAGTCGTGTGATGACTGCAAAGAAATCTGGCAAAAATTGTGCTGCACGTTCAGAGTTTTTAATCATTATTTTCTCGTTTCCGTCGTCAACTTCGTGGTAGCTCAAACTCGCTATTAGCTCGCAAAACAATTATTCAGATATGAGACGATTTCGTTGAAAAATCGACAATTTGACGGAAAACGCACAACGCAAACGATGTTCTCAGGTACCCACAGAGAGCCGAGGCTCAGTGTTCACTTTGGTACCCACGTTTTGGCTTGAAAGTGTCCTTGAAAAGTCCGATACTGTTCCACAGAATTCACCTGCAGATTTAACAACAGTAAAAGCCATCCTAAAAGACTGTGTAGTAACCAAGAAGGATTTCATTTTAATAAAAAACTCAAGCTTTAGAAAAACAGTTGAACCACTCTCTCCAAAGTGTGAAAACAATCCAAGTTTTCCCTCATGTCGTTGCCGAATCAACAAGCTCTAAACATTTGAGTAAATTTGCCAGGTTACGGTGCTACCGTCTTTTTATTTTAACACAGATCTTATATTAGTACTTTTTAGGGCCCCTGTTGATACACTGTAAGCAGTTTTTATTTAATTTTACATTGAAAAATACGGAAAGTGTAACCCTGTTGAAATAAAGGTATCTTTTAATTGTCAACAATTCGCGTTCCAGACCTATCCCTGGTAAAGGCACTCTGAAGGTGACCGTTACAACAACAGGTTGTGAAGATGACAGCCACCATGTCAAATACCTAGAACATGTGCAGGCCGTCATCACGCTGAGCTTTTCTCGCCGAGGTGACCTCAGCATCAAACTAATATCCCCTCGTGGCACGGTAGCAATTTTACTGGCTCAACGGAGACAAGACTACTCAAGCAGTGGTTTTACTGACTGGGAGTTCATGTCAACTCACACCTGGGGTGAAGATCCGAAGGGAACATGGACGTTGGAAATCGAGAACCACGGTAAAATTTTGAAATTACGATCGTTTCGCTACAAAGTCATTTTGCTTCATAATGAAGTCGTTTCGCTGCATCAAAAAGTCGATTCGCTGCAACCAACTTTTTGTATTAAACAGTGTAAAACAATTTAGAATGAACTACTTAATGGGCAATAACGCATTAAGTCAGCGAAACGACATTGCAGCTTCGCAGCGAATCGACTTCATTATGCTGCGAAACGGCTTGTAGCGAAACGACCATACTCCGAATTATGGATCTCTGTGAGTCTGTCATGATCAGTTTTGGGGAGCCATGTTGGCGCAGTGTTGAGAGCACTTGCCTCCCACTAATGTGGCCTGGGTTTGTATCTCGGTGTTGACGCCATAATTCTGTCGGTTGAGTTTGTTGTTGGTTCTCTCCCTTACTCCGAGAGGTTTTTCTCCGGGTACTCCGGTTTTCCCATCTCCTTAAAAACTAACACTTTCAAATTCCATTTCGATCTGGAACGCACGAACACGTTTCAACGAGTTCTTAAGAGCTCCTAAGTGCTCCGTGGTTAAATAAATAAATATTACGATAATTAATTAATTTGAAGCATTCATTAGAATACGGTTAAACTCTGTCAAAGAAAACTGTTCAGGGCACAAGGAATTACATATTAATTTTTATATAATTATGGAAAAAACTCGTTGGTCTAATCGTTCAAAGCATATTTGTATGTCCCGCAACAGAGAAATTTTGCAATATTATTGACAATAACAATTGTTTGAGAGATTTAGCATTAGTTTACGACAAACGGCGAAGCGTCAGAGTTAAGATTACAATCTATTACATTAGGAAATGATCATCTATCCAGGAAATGATCAGCTATTCAAGATAATTCTTATGGAAAAACAATTGGCATGAAGCTACTTATTTTCATGAAGATACGATGAACTGTAAACAACAAGTTCATGTAAAGGGAAAACTTTGTCTGTGGTACAAAGTGGTATTTGCCGTTTACTGTAAACATGATTCGAGATCTCTCTTTTTATGAGTTGTAGCGCCTAAGTGACCTCAGATAAGCAAAAATGGTAAGCAAATGGTTAAAAGCCTGTCAGGCAAAAATATAGCAACAACTGAGGCAGACAACTTTCAAGTTCAGATTTGGCATTCAAGACCCCACATAAAAATAATGGTGTTTCAAAATCTTGTTTATTTATTAATTTCATTTATTCCAAAGTAGAACAATTACAATAATTATCTCGCAGCATCTGCTTGCAAAGAAAGTAATGTCCGATAGCATAGGCCTAGTGAATTCTGTTCTTAACTTGCCCGACGGGCAAGGGAAGTATTTTGAGGAATTCAACTTACAGAAGAACTGTGAAATCAATTCTACTCATCAAAAAATTTGGGAGGCTAGTTGAATTGACGTTTGGGCTGGTAAATGCTAGCTTCAGCTTGCCCGAATGGCAAGCTGTCAGAATGACTTTCTTTGCACCTTGCATATATACACACACACAGACTACACACCTAAGCAATCATAAACACGCAATTATACAATTTATTTACTACACAGGATCAGCTTATTCAAAGCTATGCCTATCGTTATTTTACAAGTGCAGGGGTAATTTTCAAAAAGAAAAAAAGAAGAAACTAAATAAAGTACTTACAAAGTCCACTTGTGTAATCACTTTTGTAAAAGAAGAAAATAAACAGATTACCAGGTCCACTTGTCCATTAGCTTTTGCATATAAACTCTTATTCTTAGTGCAAATAAATTTTTCCATTTCTTACTTACTGTTAACTCTAACTATAAAACTGTCTGTCTGTCGGAAGTTTCAAAATCTTGTTGGAAATGTGGAAAGGAGACATTAAAAGTTTTTAGGTACACGTAGTTCTCGAGAAGTTATCCTGCATTGTATCACGTACACCTCCATGTGTTCATATAAATGAAAATGGGATTGTTTTTAAGGCTCTTCAAGTAGCAGTGGTGTTCTTAAAAACTGGTATTTGGTAATGTATGGAACTGAAGAACCAGCTGTTTCCAGTGATTCCAGTAAGGAACCAATTCCTGCCTGTAGCATGGAATGCCAGAATGGCTGTACAGGACCAAGAGCTGACCAGTGCAAGGACTGTAAACACTTTAGGAGTAGTACCAGCAATGTAAGTACACGCTCATTATTAAAGCTCTGTTGGACGTAAACTGTCTTCACAGAACTTCCAGAAAATTTTAGTCTTTTTATAGTGAATGTGGGCTCACAAATTCTATTTGATTTGCGCACTTCTTGGGGTCAATTATCAGCTACTGTGCGGTAAATAAATGTGCGCTCTTCCCCCCAAAAACAGCGGGACTCGTGAATTTGTTATGATAATCATATATTTCCACCAATTAGCTCGTTGCCTGCCGAAATCGAGTAGGCGGCATGAACTATTTTTTCCAGAGCAGATTTCAGTAGCGGATATTAAGGTATCGTATTTTCCAGCGGTTTAAGCTTCAAAACCTGGCAGATTTACAACAAAAAGCCTTGAGAAGCTGGTGAATGGTGAGGATATTTTGTAATTTAACCAACTGTATTAGGAAAGTCACCTATTTTCCAGTCTGCGTGGACAGTCTGCAAGTGACCAGCTTTTAATAGAAATATATTTTATTTCAACTGTAGGAGTGTGTTGCTGGTTGCTCCAAGTCAGAGTATCAAGATGATGCTGGAAAGCTTTGCAAACCATGCAGTCACACATGTGCAACTTGTCACGGACCCAGCACATCAGACTGTCTCTCTTGTACTCCTCCACTAATCCTGCACAATGGAAGCTGTGTAAACTTTTGTCCTGATGGCACATTCACACATGTGCAAGATTCTGTCTTGATCTGTGCAAAATGTGACTTCACGTGTCTGACATGTGCTGGCAATGCAACTGCCTGCGCTTCATGCACATCAGAGTACAAGCATGTCCCTGGTCGATGTGTGAAGAAATGTGGTGAAGGGAAGTATGTCGACGCAGAAGGACTATGCCACTCTTGTCACCCATCCTGCAAAAATTGCGATGAAGGCAGTGCAAGTGCCTGCACAGAATGTGCAGCCAAAGATAACCAGAAGTTATTTCTACACAAGGGTGAATGCAAGGCTTCTTGTCCAAGTGGTTTCTTCGAAGAAGCAGCAAGTCAGGACTGTAAACCTTGTGATTCAACCTGTGACAGTTGCACTGGTCCGTCCCCATCGCAGTGCATGTCCTGTAGTCAGGGGCTTTTCAGGATAGGAGCTCCAACTGGCTCGTGCAAACCAACCTGTCCAGAGGGTAAGAAGTTTGATGTACTTGAACTTGAAGAGTAGATGTGTTTCATACTGTACTCATTTTTTGTAGAAAGTCGATTAGCATTTTATCCCGTAGGGGTCTTCCAGTCTCTTGTACTTGACTGAAAGCGTTACAAAATGTATCAGTTGCTGGAAAGTTAGGGCTGTGGAAGTGAACACAACACAAGGATTATAGTTACGTCGAGACTTACAGATTCTAGATATTTAATCCAGTGAAGAAAAAATGGAATAGATTTTATTTAACACGAAGTGCTTACAAAGCGCGCTGTTGTGCATCTACGACTGGAGAGAAGACCGCCATCTCTATGTGATCATTCAAAACATGTGAAGCTCTGACCAACAGAATCTTCCAGGGTTTTTTCAGCTTTTGACTAGGACCAGTTAGCGAAAATCTGTTAACACGGCTGGATAGAACGCCTTCAAACTAAGAAACTAGTAAAAAAAATGCCAAGTTTGAAAGTGATTTGTTGAAAAAAACGAAGATGTAGCTCCTTTAAGTCGCAGAATTGTACAGACGTTTGTATGATGGGGGCAAGTTCGTGCCCCCACCATACAAACGTCTTTAAAATTTCACGACTTTTTGGAGAAATATCTTCATTCCCTTTGGACGTATCACCCTTAAACTTGGTTAGCTTCCTAATTTTAAGGCACTCTTTCCAGCGGTGTCGATGGATATTCATCAGAACGTGAAAAAAAAAACAAAAAAAAAAACGGAAGGGTCTGTTGCAGAGCGAAGGCAGTATCCTCTTCCTTGAGTTTTGACCCAAGCATAGGTCATTTTGAGGTCAAACTTGGTCGATGTTTTGGGGGACAAATTTTAACCCGGTTTTCTGCACAACTTTAAATAGAAGAAGCCATAGCAACCCAAAAAAGTCCCATAGTGCAATTCGAAACAACACCCACCCAGTCTACGCTCAGCCTCGAATTAATCGGGTAACCATGGTAACCTCCTACTCATTAGACCAGCGCTGTGCCAAATGAGCCAACCCTACCATAAAACTAGACAGTGCATCCTCAATCATACATCACTGTTCTCTCTTCAGGCCAGTATCCTGAATCATCTAATGGCACATGCACGCCTTGTCCATCACTGTGCAAGAAATGTAACCCTTCAGATCCCAGTAAATGCACCAGTTGTCCTAAAGGCGAGTTTCTTTATGCACATGGATGTATACCTGCTGAGCAATGCCCAGTGGGCACGTATGCAAACGGCACAACTGGGAAGTGTGAAACTTGCCCACTGGGATGTTCATCGTGTAGTCAGTCTTCTGACATGAAGTGTCTGGCTTGTTCAGAAGGTTTTGTCTTGTACAAGTCTAAGTGTTTGATACGATGCCCTGAGGGTACCTTCCGCAAGCATTCCAACAGGTTAGTGCGAGTATTTGTATTCTGTATGGGATGAGCAAGTCATCCATACTGTCCTTGAAGAAAAATTGTTCGAGATTAAGATTAAGAATCTTGATAAGCAAAATTTGTACTTGATAATTGGTCTATATTGGTTGGTGTACGTTCGGCAGAAGTGCTGCAATGAGCAGCGTGATGTCTTCATGTGCTGTGTTAAAGCTATTTTAGTAGCAAGTTCAAATCTCGCGCGTAAACTAGCGGCGATTTCATGGCGACTTGTTGTTATTGGCGAATTTCTGCGCGAAAGTTGCCAACAACCTATCTTTGTCTTCTTGTCGGTTACCTTTTGATTTAAGACCCATACACTACAGTTACCGCTGCGTAAAGATTGGAAAATTACACCAAAACCGCCACGAAATCGCAGCAGAAATGGCGTGAAACTTACCGGTGGACTGAATAAAATGACTTTTGAAAGTAGCGAGCCTGTCCCAGTTTCCTTTTGATCTACTTATTTTACCATTAACAGTTGCGTGCCATGTAGCCCATCGTGCCAGACATGCTATGGTGATAGAAGTGACCAGTGTCTCTCTTGCACTCTTCCAAAACATCTCATGGGCTCTACATGTGTCTCTGAGTGCCCAAAGGGGATGTTCCACAGCCAGGTGTCTCATACTTGTGCAGCTTGTTATGCAACTTGCGAATCGTGCAGTGGACCAAACGACAACGACTGTCACTCTTGTAAAGGTACGTAACTACTATTCCTTATTACGAAAGGCTGATCTTGGTTTTTTTTCTTCGGTTGCAAATCTTCCGTTCGCCACTTAAGAGCTGAGGAGGAAACCGGGCCGAGTTAACTTTTGCAAAGACTTCTGGGACTGTTGCTAGGACATGGAAAACTTGGCCAATAGCTGATCGGCGCGTCCAACGATCCCAGAAACAATTGCGGGAGATATCTAGGTTCCAGTTCCCTTCTCATTACCGAAGTGGCGAATTGACGTACATGTACTTTGCTGTCGGACTACGAAAGAAAAATCTAATCATGCGTGTGATAGATATTCTGAAAATAGTAAGGTTAACCATGTTGTGTGTTGCTTGTTCTTTTTACCCCCCTGAGTAATTCTCTTAAGAGTTTTCGTAAGTTTTACAACCAAAATCGTATTTTAATTAGGGAATTGTTCATGCATCGTTCCCTAGAAGTGTTTTTCACAGTTTCATTTTGAATGATTTACTTTATTTATTCACGTGAACAGTACACTCTGCCAGAAGCTGACCAACCCTCAAGAGTCGAATACTTTGTCAATTCCATCACAACAAGAACCTACCGTGAAAGATCTAATAGATGCCCTCTCTCAAATAAACGCCTCTCGTGTAATAATGCTACTACGCTGTCAAGTGTATTAGACACCCCTAGTAAACGCCCCCTATTTAATAGACGCCCCCACCCCGAGACAGATAAAGGCACAGTTTTCCGTGCTGAATGATCAGCCAACCCTTCCAGACCTCAATTGTACGTAGTAATTCCTTATAGCGAAAGAATAGTAAGATTGTTGTTATAAGGTGGATGGGCTACAATTTTTCCACCATTTTAACTTAAACCAAAATATTCATAAGTTAGTCTTTACATACTCGGTACTTACCTGTTGTTCTTCTTTTAGCCGGCTGGTCTCTTGTTGGCGGCAAGTGTCAGTCATCTTGTCCAAGTGGTAATTTCAATGGAAGTGAAGGTTGCCAGGCGTGTAATCCGGTTTGCCTTGAATGCAATGGTCCATCTCAAGAAGACTGTCTCAGTTGTAGCGACATTAAATTTCTTAACCTGCAGACAAACCAGTGCTCTTATGAATGCCCCGAAGGCTATTTTGGAGATTTGGACACCACCCATTGCAAGCCGTGTCCCGCAGGTTGCAAGGAATGCAAAAATGGTGCAGAATGTTTGTCCTGTGGACCAGGCCTATTGCTTGTTGGTAATTCCTGCCAAACTCAATGTCCCACTGGTCACTTCCACAGCAATGTATCAGACTCTTGTGAACCGTGTGATGGTATGTGCAAGGAGTGTGTACGGTCTGCCAGCAACTGTATCAAGTGCCGGGACCATGAGGTGTTGAGTGAAGGGCATTGTGTCAGCATTTGCCCAGCTGGTTCATTTCTATTGTCAGACAATAATAACTGCATGCCCTGTCATCCGTCCTGTAAAACATGCACAGGGCCTACCGACAATGATTGCACAGGCTGCAATGCTGCTTCTGTTTTGACAAACTCAAGGTGCCTGGCATCTTGTCCTTCCGACTACTTTTTTGATAAAGAAGCGAGTCAATGCCGACCATGCGACTACTACTGTTCATCTTGCGAAGGAGGTAAGCTTGTGATATAATGTAAATTGGATGAATAGGTGTAGTCAGTTGCATCGACGATGTTCTGAATTGGTAGCTTACATCCTTACGTCTAAAACAATGTAGGTGTGATGGAAAAATGGGATACCTTGCCGAATTATAAGTTTAAAAAAATTAATTTAATCCCTTTCATTGTATACAAGTCGTTATAGTCAGACACGAAAAGAGCAGCGCCGAAGGATTATTATCGAACAGTTCATATAGATGGAACAAGCAAAATAGTTTTATTACGTTTTATAGACATAAATAATTGATAAAGGAAAACATTGCCGTGAAGCAGGTCAGTAAGTGGGATCCTGATTTGGATAGCTGGCCAAGTTCCTTTCCCAGCAATCTCCCCTGTTAATTATGGACATTCGGCCCTCCTCACAAGGAAACAGAGACCAATCCAAACCAAAATAGCTCTTATGAAAGGTTAACGTTAGAATAGAAAATTCTGTTCGGCTACCATATGATGGAACCTTTATTCTGGGAACACCAGTGGGAACAGGACAAGTGTCCCCCGAAATAGAGGTGTCCCTTCAATAGTGGTAACTAATACAAATGTTGTATAAACTGTTTGTTGTGGGAACAAAGTTTGTGTCCCTTTGATGGAGGTGTCCCCTATAAAGAGTTGTGCAAAAGGACAAGGCAATGGGTGTTTCCTCGGAAAGGAAGGCCCCACCCAGTAGATGCAACCTGTTTGCTTTTCTTTCCAACACTGCTGATCAAACCAGTTTGCCTTTCTGAATGTCTTTATCTTTTTCTCCTTTCAGGCAATGGTATCAGAAATTGCACCAAGTGTGTACCTCCGTTTGTGTTATTTAAACACTATTGTATCCGAGAGTGTCCCAAGCATGGGTGGGTATTAGACAAGAATAGTCAGAAGTGTATAGAATGCCATGCGTCCTGCTCAAGATGCATTGGACCCACGGAAAATGACTGCATAGCGTGTAGTCGGCATGACATGAGCCTTGTTGGGTTTTCGTGTAAGAAAGAATGCCCTCATGGAACATTTCCCAATCGCTTGACAGGAGTTTGTGAGAGGTGCCATCCAAGGTGTGAAACATGCTCAGGACCTGGCGAAATGCACTGCAAAACTTGTGCAAAAGACCTTTTTCATAATAAAAGGAATGGAAGCTGTAGCTCACTTTGTCCACCAGGGCAGTTTTCAGTACAAGGGAAATGTAGCAGTTGTCATGCAACCTGCAGAACTTGCAATGGTCCAGGTAGTTCTGACTGTCTGGACTGCCCTGATGGTCAGGTGCTGCAAAATTTTACTTGTGTCAACAGCTGTCCGGATGGCACATATGTCACTGAAAAGGATGGAATCCATCAATGCCGGCAGTGTCATCCAGTCTGTGACATTTGCCAAGGACCAACCATGAACAGCTGTATCAAATGCAAGAAACCGCTCTACATTGAGGGCAGGTTGTGTGTCACGCAATGTTCACGCGGTCATTCCCTGGATGAACACACAAGGACTTGTCTTCCTTGTGGAAGTGAGTGCAAGAATAAAGCTGGAGCTCGGAATCGTTCTGTTCATGACCAAGATAATCAAGTCCTGAAATATGTACTTGATGATTCCCACAAGAACAGTTTTTCATTAGTTGCTGTTGCAGTTGGGTCTGTTTCAGTAGTTGTTTTTCTTCTTATTTTTGGAATTCTCCAATTCCGAACAAGGAAGATTTTTAGAGGTAGAAGAGGTATCAAGGCAACAATCACGAAAAGTGAGGATGAGGAGGAATGCAGGACTTCTCTTATAGAAGGTGAAGAAAACAGAGCTTAAACCCCTTTCGTCCTTATAGTTGATTTTTCGAGCTGCGGGTTTTTCAGTTATTATTGTTATTATTGAATTTTACTTTTATATTATGAATAATATAGGGCATATATATTCAATTTTATCGAGATAAGGTTCTTTTTAGAGCCTGATATTTAATAAGTACTTCTGTATAGTGTTAATACACGTGCAATGTACTTAAACGGGTCGTATCGATCTTGGCGTCGCAAATAACTATCTTCTCGAAGTTTAGCATACCTGAAAATTGGAAAGTTTGTCATTCAGCCATAAATGTCTTCGGTATAAGCTGTCGTAGATCGTTTTTTATCCATGTTACGTAGCGGAAATAACAGCCATGTTGTGTTCACTCCAGGGGAAGCGTGGCTGTTACACTGACTGGGAATACATTATGCCTTACCATGTGCCTATTGCAACGCATTGCAACAATAACGATAGTAACACGTTTATTCTAACCGTAACTATCACTTTCTCAACGTTTTCTGGAACTAGCCTTGGCGTAAATACGCATATTAAACGCTTAAACGTTGTTTTTCTTGCGCAAGAGTGCATCATGCCTTGCTTACACATTGCTTGAAAAGCGAGACTTCATACTTAATAACAGTAAGTTCAGCTATAAATGTTACCCGTACTGAGCGTCTTCTTTAAAAGAAAAGAAATTGCGCATATGTCTCTGAGAGAGATGCGTTTCGTTGAAATGACACTTTTACTCTAAACATGTTTTCATTGAATATGAAAGGCAACTTTACTGTTTCCATTTTGAAGTACAATAACACGTGAACTATCAAGTCATATCTCTGCTACACATCTAAAATGTTAATGCGAACACAAAATTTTACTTACCAGTTATATCCTTCAACGTTTAACTGCAGCCCTAATAGTGATAGCATCAACTTTCTCTTTGTAATATCAATGCTTCATAAAACAGTAGTAACAAGAATTAAGATCGTGATTTGCTTGATATTGTAACAGCTTCTCCCCACTACATCTATAAGAAATGTATGGGGGCATCAAGCGAGAATTTAAATTTTGATACAAGGGTTTAAAGCTAAAATCAGAGAAATGCTCCGTGTGTAACAACTGTTAACGGTTAAATTATGCAGTAAGCTGAACTGTGATGTCAGTAAATTTTGCTGCTTCAAAAGTGAGTACCAGCCAAACCAACAATTGTACATCATAAATATGTATCAATGAAATGTTACAATACGTGTACACTCTTTTTTTTTTTCATAGGAACCTTTTTTATAAGAACGTTCAGCCTGAATGTTGCCTAAATATTAAGAACACGCTAAGAACACACCCGAGACTCAGAGAAGAACGATTTATTTTTCACTGCTTTTACTTTCGTAAATCTAGAAAACCTGAATTTATCTTCTCTGGGTAATGTCCTACATGGAATCAGAGTGCATGTACAATTTTGTTCTTTCAACACATTCCTACTGTGTATGGTCTATAATACATGTACATTGTACTTGTACAATTCATTGATGTGAAAACTATAATCATTGTCTTATCTTGTCTACATGTAGCTTAAAAGATAAGAACGACGCGGGCTCAACTCGAAAAATGGACGTTCTTATAAAGAAAGAGTGTACCGAGATGGAATCCGGTTTCTTTGTAAAGTGTGTGATTATTTTTTGTAATTTATATTTTCAAAAATTAATGTAAAACTATACGCGAAGTATTTCGTAGTTTATTGACTTAATATAGAGCGGGGATCTTTTTAAAATTGATAGGTGACTAAATTGTTTGCTCTGCAACAAACAAGTCGACAATACACTATTAATAATAAGGTTATAGATAGAATGATTGCAATATTTACGACTATAATGCAAGTCGTGGAAAATTTTAGAGAAATATGAAGGAGAAATAAAGATATTTTTGCACAGAATTGATTGCTTTATGTACGTGCTGTTTTGCTGTTGATGTTTATGATGTGTGGTGGATGCTAGAGTGGTGGGACACCTATAGCGGACCTGTATACCGCTATTCACAGTTGTGCAACGTAAGGGATCTATACAGCGCAGCTATGGATGACTTTACTATCATAACATAGCCTGGGACCAGGCTCCGCAATGGGGAAAAGCAAAAAACGGATTGAGACAGCAGAAAAAGGGGGTGTAAAATTTGATGTAGTTGTAATAGAGCGGTTTTCATTTGAGTGTCGAAAAGTAATTGGTTTTGCACTTTCTACACGATGCGATTGGCTTAAAAGATTCGCGCCACCTTTTCATTCAATCAGAAGTAAAACCAAAGCCGATTGTGACGCGCTCGCACGATTTTCCCGCGCTTTGCGTCAGCCACATGTAATTACTTCGAGTTTTGATTGGTTCAATGTATTGTCTGTGTCCTATGTGATTGGCCAGAGTAATTACTTTGGTTTTGGTTTTACGACACTCAAACGAAAACCACTCTATTGATAGACTAAAATCAATATGAAACTTTAATCAATAAGATCTCAGCAGCTGCCTTTATCAGTGCCCACTTTACAATTCATCACTATTTCATTTTTTTCTCAAAAATGCAACAGCATCCTGTATAGTTTACAGTTGCTTTGCTAAATCTCTTGGTAAGTAACAGCATGTAAAAGATAACAACCCTTAAAATATTCTTTGGCACGGTAGGATGGTCAATAAAATTGGGCAAAACACTGGGTCACAGCAGAAAGGGTGTCAAAGCGTCGCGTATGACTTCAAACCCTTGTTGCGTGACACTACGGTAACACGACTCAGCTGGTATACATCTGCACTGTTTTCAAAATATTACGATGCAATCGGAATTAGAAGACGACAAGGTAATGTTTCATGATTGTTGAGTGCCAAGAACATGTACAGCTCTAGGAAAATCTACTCTTTGAAAGAGAATTTATTGCATGCAGTTTCTCATATATTCAGTTTATTTTATCAAATATATTTAGCTTTATGATATGGGTAGTTTTGTTTTCACTTTCAAAAGTTCTTCGTATATTCTGAGTTGCCTAGTCCCTGTACGGCGTTTTCCCAGGCCTTCTTGGTCAATTCAATTCGGCGACGTATCCGAGGCAAACGGGTGGGAAACGCCTCACTTCTTCGCTCGAACCACGTGGGCCGAAACGCTTTGGCCGCGCGGAATAATGAGGCCTAGGGACTAGGCAATATTCTGAGTAGCATAGTACGTAAAGCCAACACTAGAGATCAGAACATGTGTCAATCCTGGTCGCTTTTAAAAGGTTAGAAAAATGTAAAATAATATAATCGTCATCTTAAATAGTGCACGCGGTCGCTTGCGAGAGGTTGTACCGCCACCGAAATGATCCCCACCATCGAAATGCTCTCCGCCACCGAAATGACTCCCAATCACCACCGAAATGATACCGGCGGTCACCACCGAAATGATCCCCGGAAAATCGGGAATGGAATTAAGAGGACTACAAAAACTGGACAACAATTAAGAGCGTGCTTTTTTTTTTTTTTTTTTTTTTTGCATTTTTTTTACGGTGTGTAATTT